GTGCTGTTCGCGTCGAAGGCCATCGTTCAGTTGATGGTGAACCCGTTCTCCGGTGCTCTGATCGACAGAATCGGTTACGACATACCCATGATGATAGGACTGTGCATAATGTTCCTGTCGACGGCCGTGTTCGCCTGTGGCCGAAGTTACGGCGTGTTGTTCTTCGCCAGGAGTCTTCAAGGAGTAGGCTCCGCGTTCGCGGACACTAGCGGCCTGGCGATGATAGCCGATCGCTACACGGAGGAAGCGGAACGTTCGAAGGCCCTCGGTATCGCGTTGGCCTTCATCAGTTTCGGTTGTCTAGTGGCACCTCCGTTCGGCGGGGCGCTGTACCAGTTCGCGGGCAAGGAGGTGCCCTTTCTGATTCTCGCGTTCATCAGTCTGGCGGACGGCTTCATGTTGCTGTTGGTGATGAAGCCGCTGAAGGAGCAGATGAAGGAGAGTCAGCAGGAGCGAGCACCGACCATACCCATCTGGCGGTTGCTGATGGATCCCTACATCGCCGTGTGCGCGGGAGCCTTGATGATGTCGAACGTCGCGCTGGCCTTTCTGGAGCCCACCATCTCGTTGTGGATGGAGGACAACATCACCCGCGATAACTGGAAGATGGGGATGATCTGGCTGCCGGCGTTCTTCCCGCACGTGTTCGGCGTGATGATCACCGTCAAGATGGCCAAACAGTACCCTCAGCACCAGTGGCTGATGGCCGCCTCCGGCCTCGCGTTAGAAGGCCTATGTTGCTTCATAATACCCTTCTGCACAGGGTACAAGGGTCTCATGGTGCCCCTGTGCGGCATCTGCTTCGGCATAGCGCTCATCGACACCGCCCTGCTGCCCACTCTGGGCTACCTGGTAGACGTGAGATACGTCTCCGTCTACGGCAGCATCTACGCCATCGCCGACATCTCGTACAGCGTGGCGTACGCGGTGGGTCCCATAATAGCTGGCGGCGTGGTGGAGGCCATCGGCTTCACCGCCCTCAACATCGGCATAGCCTTCTCGAACCTGATGTACGCGCCTGTTCTCATGTACCTGAGACACATCTACGACTTCAAGCCCTTCCAGGACGAGGCGGACGTCCTCATGCAGGACCCGCCCGACAAGGAGTACCAGACGTACGTGCTGCAGGAGCAGAGACCGCTCGCGGGCGAGGTGGGCAACCACCTGAATCAGACGCGTATGGAGACGAGTCTGGACCAAGGCTACGATCAGAACTATCAAGGAGGGCAGAATTACGATCAGAGCGGATACGGGCAGAACGTCAGTGCCGCCGGGTACACTCAGGCCTCGACTGGTTATGAACAGCCGCCCATGTACGACCAGCAGACCAACTACGGTCAACAGAACATGGGCTACGGGCAACAGAGGACTAGTTACGGGCAGGAGGCCCAGACGGCGGGTCAGATGGACGTGAATCCCTTCAGAAGACCCAACGCCGACCAGCAAGCTGGTGATAGTAATCCCTTTAGACAAGGAATGTACTAACGCGCCACCTGAAACTGTGCACACCGGGTATTCGAACGAATATCAAACAGTCTTCGAGATAGGCTTCCACTTATCAGGAATATTTACGTACGACGTTCCTCTGGTGATCAACGAGTGACGGTGTTTTGGAGGTTATGTTCACTTCTTACAGAATTTTTTTCTGAAACGTTAGTGTTGCTTGTATTTTCTTTTGTAACGGAAGAACCTGTGGTATTACGTTATGGGATTTATTTCTTAGTCCTCTGGATTTTTGGAGTTGTGTTTAGTGTACCGGTTTCATTGAAACTTCTGAAGGAACGCGTCCGTGAAGGAAACTTTAATCGTTGAGAGTCGAAGTTGAAGAGAGTGAAGAGTGAGGAGAGAAAAGTTCGTTCGCCATCTGACGGACTCGGAGGGAAAGAACCTAATCGCGGCGGAGGCTTCTTCTCAGCAAAGACCTCCGCTCGCGACTTGCCAGACACCGGCAATCTTTCGTTTTTATCCGTTTCGTTTGCGTTTCATTGCTGAACCGAAGTACCATATCACTAATTAAGGCGTCGATATAGCTGTTGAAGCTTTCGTATAAGTATGGTTGCTGAGGAGATACAGTGCGGTCGTAAATTAACAAAAATCTATGAAACCTCCAGAAAGTCCACAAAAACCTTAATCTTAAAGCCTTAAAATTTGAAAAACCCCAAATAATTCAAAATTAAAAAAAATGTCAAGGTCCCAATTTTACGACCGCACTATATCTCCGCAGCCGACTAATTGTATAGAAAATGTGTACGGCAACGAACTTCTCTTTCGGCCGTGACAAGTTGCGACTACCGTGTAAACATATCATTGTTTGATTTCATCTACCGTTGTTGATAGTTGACTTTAGTCATCCATAGTAAAGGTTGAACGAAATGTCGTGTTTTAACCAGTTCTAATAAAAATATAACCTCGAATTACTGAAGTACACTAAAAATTTTACATTTCTCATAGATATAGTCCCGACTTTGATATAGCGAGGTCGTAAATCTCTCAAGATATAGCGTAGTCGTAAATCCTTACCGAGGTATATGTTTATTAGAATGAATCTACGTTGAGACTAACGATATTTCGTTGTGGGACAACCAGTATATGAGACGTTGAGTTGTATCGGTTACGTTGTATCGTTTGAATTGGGATTTTATACAGTTTGATATTTATAATTCACTATTTAGTCGCGAGTTCCATACGCATCTGTTTAGCCGGCTTCGGACATGAAGCGATACCCTTGTAACTAGATAAGTACGTTGAGCCCTACATATCTGTATTTTTATGAACCTAGTTTTCTATGTAGCCAGGGGAAATTCTGTTCGTTCGGTTGGTCGTGGAAAATTGTGCAATACTTAGGTAAATACATAGGACATGTATATTTCTATATGTATGTACATAACCTATACGCATACGAACTATGTGCCAGCGACCCGCAACAATGGGCTTCACGAGTTCCGAAGCTGTCACACACAAGGAAACACTGTTCAACGAAAAAGTAGCGTTAAAAGTTCTCTTTCTTTCGAACGTCGAACGATAAAAATTTTAAGAAACGTCTTAGCTTTGCAAACGTTCATTTGCAAGGCTTGTCTTTGCGCTGCTCGATGTTTGACGTCGTTCTGTGAGGAAATAAACTCGTGAACAAAGTTGCTGGAAAGGTGTGCGCGATTCAAAGATTTCTGGACAACCGAAAGGAGCACAGAGGCCCGAATATGTCCACGATGTGTCGTGTTGGGGCAAAGGTTGCAGAGACGCTGAAAAGTAATTCAATTTTAATAAAAAAGTATGGTGCTGTGTTTCTATAAGTAGAATCAGATTATACGCGTTAAAATAAAACGAAAAGTCTTATGGCGTTTTGCGGTACGAGGCTTCGTTCTCGAGATATAAGTAATTGAAGATTGAGAGAACCTGCGCGCGCATCAGCTGTTCGGCGCCAAATTCAAACGCTCTGCGTACAATCGCCTGTATCTCGGAAACGGTGCAACGGATCGCAAAACGGTAAAGAACTTTTCGATTCGTTCGTGTGTAAAGAGTTAATTGCGATGGTGTACATTTTGAAGCCTAGCTGTTTAGAAAAGCTAAGGAGAAGTGTGTTCTACTTTGACCAAAAGATCTTTGATTATAATTTATGGCAACCTTTGTATAAAACCTGACAATTTACGATGAATCAAGGAATCTTCTGGGCTCTGATAGTGTCCTTTGAAATTATCGCGAGTGCTTTGAGTTTACAGTGCCTGAACTCTTCAAGTTTGTATCCCTTCCCTATAGTACAGTGGCGAGATTCGATCTTAGGTACGTACACCGACGGGCACGTTGGGCTTTCTAGGGAAAATGGCGACGTAATTCTAGAAACTGAACCGTGGGTTTAGTGACAAGCTT